AGAAAGAAAGAAAGAAAGAAAGAAAGAAAGAAAGAAAGAAAGAAAGAAAGAAAGAAAGAAAGAAAGAAAGAAAGAAAGAAAGAAAGAAAGAAAGAAAGAAAGAAAGAAAGAAAGAAAGAAAGAAAGAAAGAAAGAAAGAAAGAAAGAAAGAAAGAAAGAAAGAAAGAAAGAAAGAAAAAATTTATTAATAGATACATCAATACCATCCAATATTTTCAATAATCCAACACAATATTTTTCATTAAACCTACTTGCTGTTGAGGTCAGCAAGATTTTTTTTTTTTTTAAAGAAATTAATACTTTTATTCAGTAAGGATGCATTAAACTGATCAAAAATTGCAAACGAATGCAGCCTTGATGAGCATAAGTCACCTCTTTCAAAAAATATTAAAACAACAAACAAACAAAAAACCTCACCATTTTGAACAGTAGTATAAGTACAAATATAGATTCAAAATATTCACACACACACACACACACACGAATACCAAACTATTCATAGAGTCCAAACATTTCATAATTCTTTTAAAAACATACAAAAATCCATATAAACCTATATTCAAATCCATTTTAGTAAGATCCTGTTATTTGTAAATAACAGCCTCTGTGTCTCTTTAATCACAATCGAGATCAGCTTTGGACCTTGAGTTCATGAACCCATGCTGGAAACCATATTACAGCATTACGGAAGACAGGGATTATACTTTATACTCCCGACTGGCATCTGAGTGCAATTTATTCCACCAACATTGTACTGTCCAAGAAAGAAAAAAAAAAGGATTATCACTAAATCACAAATACCTTTAGAGAATCAAAGCGCTCAACTTTAAGAAAAGGTTTTCTTCTATTTGACATCATAATAAGTTACTGCGGCTTCTGAGGGACCCTGCGCTCGCTGATCAAAGCCTCGGCTCTCTCAGCAAGTGATAAGTCACATCTCCGTTTGGGGGAAATTGGCTGCAGCTGACGTCCTGTGCAAGCTGACAGTAGGATGAGGGACTTCCTTTTTATTCCTCTGTTAGTCCACGTAATGTTTCTTAATGGGATATTCAACAAAGCTAAATTAAAAACAAATACAGACTGAAAAATGGGGTCTTGGATACAGAGAGCCATTTCAGTCCCATCAATATGTAAATTAAACTTTTAAAATACTCTTTAAAAATGTTAAAATACTCTTTTTTTACATTCAAGTGAAATGTTGCAAAAGTGAAAGGCTGTAGTACAAATCTAGTACTACAGCCTTCAATATTTAATGTTTGTGAACTGAGAAGATGCAGATCTAATTTTTTGTATCATTTGTATAATTAAGTGTGTTTAAGTTTAAGGCTGTCTTTTATACACAAATGTGAATTTAATAAATATCAGGTGGTTATTAAGGTAAAACTACACACTGAAAAAAAATGGTGGTGAAACAATTTTCACTTAGAACTTGCTAGTAAGTTTCGCAAATAATTACAAAGAAACGGCAAGTAACACACTGAATTAAATGTGAAATTTTGAAAAAGAAAGCCTGACAGCATTTTCTTGTAAAATATAATCCAATATTATTAATAACTTTGAAAAGTCTTTTTTCCCCAGTGCATTTAGATATGTTAATATATTGCCATAAAACATTTAAAAATAAAAAATCACTAGAAATATAAAGGCAATTTTGGCATATTGGAACTATACAAGGTACTTTCAAAAAGTTTTTTCAAGAGACGTGCAATAAAAAAAAACATGCATTTCTACTTTATTTCTTACTTGCTTATCCTGCCAAAGTTTTCCGCAAAAACTCCAGATGATGCTAAAACCAAAAATTCTGTTTTTTGCTGGGAAAAAGAGATAGAATCCTTTCAATGTCACACCAGTGTTTCTGCTCTGAAACTACTAGCCACTTGTGTCCAGATAGCAGACAACCTCATGCTCTCCCCCTCTTCTCCTCCTCATTCTTCGGTCTTAAGTTGTGAATCCCATTCAGAGAGTAGTCATAAAGATTCCAAACTGCCGTAAAAAGGTCATTAGCCAATGTGCATTTGTGGGAGTCTGCAGTAGTACATGAAAAGGATTCCAACACCTCCCATTAACAGATGATGGCTACGTTTTGTGGTCTCTCTCTGACTGTCTGTCTTTTCAAGGTCCTTGCACCACACCCCCCAGACAGGAAGCTTTCTCTTTTGACACGGCTGCTTTAAATTAGGAAGGGGGTGAAAATAGATATTATGAATTCACAAATAAAGAGAATGTGAAGAGTTGCAGATGTAATTGATCTCAAGCATTGATGTGATGTTTTCATTGGATAGTGCTGGTAAAGTTCTGGTTTCATTGAATAGTGCTGGTAAATAAAAAAAAACTGCTTTAAAATAATGAATGCAAACCCTTTTTAATACCAGATTATTATGTAAAAACATTGTTATACAGAATAATGCATATATTGTTCTGTATTGTTACAGGATTAATATAAATGTTTTATTTATTAATTTTCATGCAGTTTTCATGTGTAAAAATGTGTTCCTCCACATTATTATAGTTAACTATAAAACTAAAACCATAAAAAAACATTTTCCTCTAACTAGAAATAAAATTAGCGTTAACTTGAGATAAAAAATAATAATAATACAAATTATTTTATTTCAGCTAGTTGCCAAGGCAATATTTCTCATTTTAACTTAGTTTAACTTAATGATCTAAAATAACTAAAATGTAACAATAAATAAAAAATTATAGACATATATAGCCTAAAAAAAATACTAAAAATGACAAAAAAACATAAAATTACTAGAACTTCAACTAAAATTAAAATGGAAAACATAAAAATAAAAACTGATTCAAAATATGAAAAAAAAAACTATATTATCTTAATTATACTAAAATAACACACAGATTTGAATGATGCATTGAAAATGACCTTTAAAATTATCTAAAATAACTAAAATGTAACAATAAATAAAAAATTATAGACATATATAGCCTAAGAAAAATACTAAAAATGACAAAAAAACATAAAATTACTAGAACTTCAACTAAAATTAAAATGGAAAACATAAAAATAAAAACTGATTCAAAATATGAAAAAAAAAACTATATTATCTTAATTATACTAAAATAACACACAGATTTGAATGATGCATTGAAAATGACCTTTAATTGAATGAAACATTCTATTATATTAAGCATGTTGAAAACAAAAAATAAAAATTATTTTGATAACTTTTTCTGAGACAAAATTATGTGTCACATAAACTGTGAATTGCCCTTCTATCATTGGTGGGACAGATGCTACTATCATAACGGCAGTGTTGAATAACTACAATTATTTTCATTGCTTTATTATGCAAACTTATGCATGTAATACATAACACATATATCTGACGTACTTTCAGATGCACTGTAAATAGTTTCCCGCGTGCACTCAACACCAGTGCTAGAGAGGCAGGAAGCTCTTTGGTTCTGGGAATAACAGCGCACGCACACAGAACATCATCTTATACGTAAACATGCATTCAGCTTCCGCATCAGTGGGACCACTGTGCTATTTAACAATCGCATTAGATGCAGAATACACTGCAGCACAATTGATTCTCTATAATAAATTTGAAAAAATGCACCACTTATGTTTGCTCACCGTGTAAGGTCGGACAGTGCTGCTGTGCTGCTTTACTTTCTATTGGGTCGAGGCCGCCATGTTTCGCACATCCGCGCATGTCCAGCTGCATCTGTGCCTTCAAATTTATATCAATGGAACATTGAAGAACTACAGATCATTTTGTATGGGTGAAGGTGAATTTCAAACTCCCAATATTACCTTACAAATGCACGTTTACACGCAGAAGCGATCTGAACTGAATTCGAACGACATTATAAAAATCGAGTAGAATGAAATTCAAGTGGACGTGTGCTGTCTTGCTTAGACCTACAGATTGTTATTGGAGTTGGGGGAAAAAAGCTAGAAAAACTACATGAGGAATATGAAGGTGTTTAATGTACTTTGCAGTTGCAATAATAAAAATCGAGTAGAATGAAATTCAAGTGGACGTGTGCTGTCTTGCTTAGGCCTACAGATTGTTATTGAGTTGGGGGAAAAAGCTAGAAAAACTACATGAGGAATATGAAGGTGTTTAATGTACTTTGCAGTTGCAATTAAACATTACCTAACAATAAAAAATTAATTTATTAAGCCTTCATCATAATAATTAAACGAGCATCAATTGTCCATTATCTGGTTTAATATTGCGGCGAAGACGCATAATTTATCATTGCATATAATTTTTTAATTATTCAAATGATCTATATATTGATTAAAAAAAGGTTTTGATAAAAAAAAAAAGGTTTTGCTACTGTGTGAAATTGTGTCACATTAAATATGAGTGACTGCTGTAAATAAAACGTATGAGCAAAAAACATGGTATTTCTGTTATCTTGTCGAAATATTATTTATTAATTTATTTGTAAGTTTCATGTATCGCCTCTGATACGTTTTAAATCAGAATAATCGCTAGATGGCACCATGCACTTTTCCCGAAAAATCACTCCATGCAGTAAGCCTGCCTGTCTCGAGATTTCCAATACTGGAATTTTTTTTTTTAATTTTTTTTAATTCTTCTTAATGATTTTTACCAGGGAACAAAGTCGGCATTTTTGCATGTAAAATAGGTTGATTAGGCTATGCTATTCTGGCAAGCTGCTCTATAACAACAATATAATAATAATAATAATAATAATAATAATAATAATAAATAAGTCAATAAATAAACTTAATAATAAAACATTCATAATAAACAAATTAATTAATTAATATCTCAAAGCTACAAAACTAAAGATCAATCGCAATAAGTAGGCTAGAGATTACATAGAGGTCAAAAAGGAAAAACCTAAAGGCACAAAATAGATAAGATAGATAGATAGATAGATAGATAGATAGATAGATAGATAGATAGATAGATAGATAGATGTTTTAAAGCATATAACAACAATTCATAATATTCAGTCATAATTTATAAAGGCTTCTTCTTTATAAATGCTTATTCTTTCTCTTCTCAGCAGAGCTGTCTGCTGAATTGACCTTTCAGCTCAACCTACTCTCACACACAGAAAGAGAGAGCGAGAGACACAAGGCACGGCCTCGCCAAACGAGCACATCAATTTGGATACATGCATGTATGAAATGTAACACATCCGAGCAGGAATGCATATTTGCTCAACCGAACCCAGCCAAAGACGACCCTTCGCTTCAGCACCATTCTGAGCATTGCTCCATCGTGATTGGCCACAGAGGGGTTCGGTTCGGACGCTATTGGTGTGAGCAGTCCGCCACTCAGCTTGGTGCCGCTTCGCCTGAACGCCAAATTATAGACCCTACTACAGCGAAGGCCTGGCTCATGAATATTAATTAGATTACGTGACTGGACGCACTTGCAAGGTTTCCAGGCAACGTCAGCGTGACTTGCTTAATATTCATGAAGCGAGCCTTCGCCATACTGCGATCCGTAATTTCGCGTTGTTAGGTTGTCAATGGCTCAGAATGAAGGTGGATACTGTTGCAGCTGTGATGATGGGTTACCACTGCAGGTGAAAATGAAAACATCGTTACTCGGCGACGCGAGAGGACAGTTTGCGCATCGTTGTCTTGGACATAAGTGAGTATTCTGGTCGGAGCTCTTTCCATAAATGTACAATATTGTCAATGCGCTTGGTTTTTACGCTGGATGTTAGATGTTTGTGGCTGTTACATCGTTGGTGCTTCGCACAAACACGAGCACCTCCTGCCCACACACTCCAAGAGACCGAAGTCACCTGTTATCAATTATGTCATGCGTTTAAGACTGTATTGGTTATGTAAATGGTCTTTATATTGGGTGGGCACTTTGTATAAATCGTTGTGATTTTTTTTTTCTTTTTTTAACCGCACCATATTTTTTACTGTTCATTTAAGAGTGGGTGTGAGTGGTGTGGGCTGTCAGTCATTTCTTGATACTGTCAGGTGGATAAGATGCTTAAAATAATTATAGAACTTTCATCCACCTACGAATATTTCCAGCGCGCGCGCACACACTTACGCACGCGCATACCGCACAACACATCAGATGCAGACATGCGACGCTTTTGTGCACAATGCACAAACATACTAGGAGCTGTCGGTGTCACGACATGACCTGCGAAACGCATATGAAAATGCATTTAAGTGTAAAAGCAACGGGTACTGCCCACATATCAAGCGCAGTTGAGACCTGTCGCACATCTGAGGTGATTGAGTTTATGTCCATCTGGGTTTTTTTTAGCACATTACATCACTGACTTCTGGTTTGGGAGAGGATTCTCAGACTCTCCTTGTTCACCCACCTGTAATTCTCATTCAGAGCTGCGTTGTTTTGCTTTTCCAAAAATTGTTATAAGATTCGCAATGATCCGTCCTGAAGAACTGTGGCCCTTGTTTATTATCACCTCAGAGAAACCGAATCATGACAATCCTACACACATCCTGTCTGAGTGAAATGAGACAGAATATGAGCCATAATCAATGTAATTTCATGCAAATGCATGTGAAATAAACATTAGATGTAAACATTGGATATGCCACTGATCTGATGCATATGCATGTGATATATATATATATATATATATATATAATAAAGATGCAGCATGCATGAACAACTCTATTTGACCCCTTCCCTGCAAAACCTCTGTACTCTTTCTCTTCAGGTGAGCAAGCCTGTGTGTGTGTGTGTCTGTGCATAGTGTATTAGTTTGCAGGAATGTGTGTCAGTGTGTGTGGATTATGAGAAGAGCATTGTGACCAACCGGGAGCAGATTTTTGCTGCAATGACCCGTTCTGGCACCGATTTCTGTCCCATTCTCTGACTTTCTGCTCCTCTCAGCCCGGATATGCACCACCTCGGCATCTTTTGACTTCATGAAGATTCCTGACATCGGTAATGTGATGAATAAATTTGAGGTCCTTGGGATTGTAGGAGAGGGTGAGTGCATCTTTTGTTAAAATCCTTCGATAAAGAGAAAAATGTATCAGTATCATTGCTTATAAAACAGTTGCTTGTGTATATAAGCCATAAATGGTATAAATCGAGCTTATGATGCTTTTTCTTTCTTTCCAAAGGAGCCTATGGGGTGGTCCTGAAATGCAGACACAAGGTAAGACATGTTTATGCAGAAACCTGTTGGTCAGCATGCTAAGTAGAACTGCAGAAAATATGTTGTACGGTGTATTTGATCCATGTGAATTAGATATATTCTGTAAACTAGGTAATTTTTGATGCTGTTTTTAAAGTATAATATCCAGTTTATAACCATCTGGGCGAATGACACTTATAGATCTATACTGCTTATGCAAAAAAAAAAACACACGCCTTTCTGTTAATGTAATTTGTAGAGGGGAGGATAGTTTCTCATTTTACCCGTAAGGAAAAACTGCCTAACAGAGTTAACCTTTATGGGCCTTGTGACTGTAACTTTCCCAGAAGAGTTGCACAACATATCTAAACTCCTTAAACTGTACATTTGTTGAGATATTTCTTTAGAAATATATTTTCAATTGTAATATGGTATTGTTCCCTAGCAACTGGTTCTTTTAAAATTGTGGGCTTCTCCAAATGCATTGCTTGTGGCCTAGTTGGCAGATTTGCTTCATTGTTTTGGGAGGCATTTTCAGACAGTTGAACATCGCTAGACTAACTCACAATAAGGTAAATATAGGCATATTTTCAACCAGTAGGAAATGCTTTTATTGAAATTGCTGCTGTGCTGTTGGGAGGTGCAGGGCGTTTTTGTATCATCCATTATGCAGTGATTTCGGCGCATTTTAAGTGTTAGGTGCTCAATCCATAGCATTGAGCCTATGACACTGCTATTGAGGTGTTTGTTCAGTATACAGTAGTTTGCATCTGAACTGAACCAATGACACAGAGTTTGAAGTCCATATACCAGATTTAGTATCAGAGTATTTTTCAGTTTTGAATAAATGCTAAGCACAGATTTGCACATGATAACCCGCCTTTTACCACATTTATATACATCAGAATTCAAAACCTCTAGATTAATTTTTTTTATTATCAAAACTACCTGTCTGTTAAGGTTATTTTCATAGTCCCTTTCTGTGTGTCCTCGATGCTGTTGGAATTTGAGTCATGGTTGCATGCCCAGGATGTGTCTTCACGCCTGGGCAGACAGCATCAGTGTGGCTGGATGCCTGGCTAGATGATGAATGACAATACAGTGCAACAGAATGGTTAGGGCTCATTACACTTTAGATTTCACTGACCTCGACGTACACACCCCAGAGTTAACACTGATACCATGCAAAATACGCATGCTCTTTTCTGTAGGCATTATATTCATGTAGTTACATATGTCTTTTTGAAAGCACTTTAAAGGTCAAAATGAAAGTCAGAAGTTTGTTTGTTTAAATGTTGGCGTGTGGAACTGTCACTAAATCAGAGGCTAGTTGCATATCTCCAGTATATTTATTGATTTTGATGTAAGTTATGTTAAATAATCATGGATTGGAATAGCGGAGAATTGATGATGGAAAGGAAATAATCCAATCATATTTCTATGCATAATTACATTGTCCCACAAGTTCCCATGCATCATTGTTATGATAATGAGGCCGATAAATTCAGCAGCAAGTATACTCCTCAGCCTGTGTCAGAACAGAAAACCGGGCTTTTGCTTTTAGTAATTGGTCAGTCAGCGCTTTCCCTCCTCCATTAAATGCATTCAAAATTGCAGCTGAAATCATAGAATGACCGTTTCTTTTTTGTTGTATTCGGTCTTGTTTTTCTTTCACCTATCATTATTATACAACGCAAATATGCCTGGAATCTATTTACAGATATTCAGAATGGCACCGCTCACGAGATAACTGTGCTAAACTAGGATTTCTTTACATACTTGATTAAGAACAGTATATTTGAGTCTATGAAAATAAGACTGTTCACCCTCATTAGGAGGCTAGATTAAATTTGTCTTGCCTTTGGATATTTTTGATATAGAATAGAATACAACATAATAGAATAGAATAGAGATAGTTCTGGTCATTAAATTTGATTGAAACACTATTTCAGTCTTTGAACTTCAAAATTTCACATTTAATGCAATGTGTTGCTGGCCATTTCTTTTTAATTATTTGTAAATTTACTAGCAATTTCTGAGTGAAAATAGTTTCAAAGTAATTTTTTAAGTGCTGCCTTGGTGAGCATAAGAGATTCTTTTCATAAACATTAAAAAAAACAAATCTTATTAACCCCAAACTTTTAAGTGGTAGTGTATACACAAAATAACTTGCCATGTTGTGTCTAAAATGTAAATGACTGAATATTATTTTCTCGTTTATAGAACTGTTGCATAAAGGCAATCGATACCAAATTTGCAATTTTGTGCTGTTGTACTGAGTCATGCAGATATTCAGCTCTTTTGCTTGATATTGCTTGAATAGAATAGAACAGAATAGTTTTTTTTTTCTTGCACTCTTTTACATAAAAATAATATTGTACAATATTGAAACAAGCACCATTAATGTAAATATTGATTTACATAAAAGCACATCCCATTCACATATTTGACAAACCTATATATGGATACAGTGTGCATCCCATATTCCCTCATTCTCATATAAACAATCCATTTGTGCATTCATGCAAACAACGCATTGTCATACATCCGCTTAGACACTTAATAGAGATTGCACGTATTGTTCAATATTTTAATAGGCATAGATGAAAACTTGAAGCTGTTAAGTCTGCTCTGGGAAAACCTGAATCTTGTATTAGGAGGTGCATCTTTTGAGCCTGCATGTTAATAGAGGAACAGGATAGATGGGTCGTTATTAACTCCAGTAATTGTCGTAGTGGTTTTTACAAGGCAAAATATTATTAGATTAGCATAACATGGTTATATGCAATGATGCAAAACATGTACAGATGAATATAAAAACAAATAAATAATCATCTTAGCTTTAATATTTTATTTATTCATATTCATATTTTATGTTTGCACTTGTTAATATGTGTGAAGCAAAACATATTCATTGTATTTCATGTTTAGTTATGATATGTACTTCCCTAGAAGTGCATTTTGAGATGCAAACTTTACAAGCAAACCTTTAAAAAGCTCAGCGCTTTACTCCTCACAGAAAACGCTTGTGTTTCTGACTATTGGCATTGGCTTCTCTATTGTTTCTCTCAAGTCTACCCAAGTGATGTTATCCCAGCGAGTATGCCATGTTGTGTCTCAAATGTAATGACTGAATATTATTTTCTCGTTTATAGAACTGTTGCATAAAGGCAATCGATACCAAATTTGCAATTTTGTGCTGTTGTACTGAGCCATGCAGATATTCAGCTCTTTTGCTTGATATTGCTTGAATAGAATAGAACAGAATAGTTTTTTTTTCTTGCACTCTTTTACATAAAAATAATATTGTACAATATTGAAACAAGCACCATTAATGTAAATATTGATTTACATAAAAGCACATCCCATTCACATATTTGACAAACCTATATATGGATACAGTGTGCATCCCATATTCCCTCATTCTCATATAAACAATCCATTTGTGCATTCATGCAAACAATGCATTGTCATACATCCGCTTAGACCCTTAATAGAGATTGCACGTATTGTTCAATATTTTAATAGGCATAGATGAAAACTTGAAGCTGTTAAGTCTGCTCTGGGAAAACCTGAATCTTGTATTAGGAGGTGCATCTTTTGAGCCTGCATGTTAATAGAGGAACAGGATAGATGGGTCGTTATTAACTCCAGTAATTGTCGTAGTGGTTTTTACAAGGCAAAATATTATTAGATTAGCATAACATGGTTATATGCAATGATGCAAAACGTGTACAGATGAATATAAAAACAAATAAATAATCATCTTAGCTTTAATATTTTATTTATTCATATTCATATTTTATGTTTGCACTTGTTAATATGTGTGAAGCAAAACATATTCATTGTATTTCATGTTTAGTTATGATATGTACTTCCCTAGAAGTGCATTTTGAGATGCAAACTTTACAAGCAAACCTTTAAAAAGCTCAGCGCTTTACTCCTCACAGAAAACGCTTGTGTTTCTGACTATTGGCATTGGCTTCTCTATTGTTTCTCTCAAGTCTACCCAAGTGATGTTATCCCAGCGAGTAGGGGCCATGAAAGGCCCTTTGTGCATGACCAAACACAACAAGAACTGCTGTTTGTTCTTGTCTTTGGTTGAGATATTCTTGTGTACTTATTATTTAGTAGTTTTCGCATTTTAACAAACAAAAAGCAGTTAATATTCTTGTGTTTTTGTCAGTCAAATAGTCTGAATGTCCTTCGGTCTAGTGCAATGGTCACTTAAATTCTATTAGTGTCTCCATACTTTGTTTTCAAGCTTACTTCATTAAAATGAGTGAAAAGACATCAAATGCATGAAGCTAGGCAGCAATTTATTTATTTGTCAGCAATGTGCAATCACACCCACACTGATTAGCATTTGAGCATCTCATGTTTTAAGATCTATTAAATGACTGTTTGATTTTGCAGTTGATGTGAAGCTCAATAAGGGTGTTTTATATGCTCTCTTCAGACGTGTGTAGACGTGCGAGGCCTGTGCGGTCCTGTGAGTGAGGGGGATCATCTGAATTTAAAAGCTTGTTCCCTTGGAGAAGAATATTTATTTTTATAGCGTATCAGTCGAATTGAGGGCAGAGGAGGAGGAGGAGACGTGAGTGTGCATTAGCATTAAATAGGTCACCTTGAGTGGGAACGCTGGTTGTGGAGGGCTGTGTTGAGATGATTGTGCAAGGCACTGTGGATGAGATTGTGTGTGACAGAAATGCCAAAACAGAGAGATATTGTATCGTTAGGAAAGATAACATTTTGCATGTGAAGCTGGATAAAGAGTTATTATATTATAAACATGCTGCTTTGATTTGTGATTTTATTTTTTTATTTTGATTTTTTTTAATTATTGTTCATGGCTTGGATGACCGAATATGATAATTGAAGTTGTTGTAGTTCTTGCAAGGTAGAATCTGTACTGATATACTTCAAACATCAGTTATCTTCAAATTAGTGCTGTCAAGCGATTGCGATAAAAAAAAAAATTTGTTTACGTAATATACAGTGGGTACGGAAAGTATTCAGAC